TGCAGCCTTCAATATGGATTGAAGGTAAACATCAAGAAAACAAAACCACTGGGTCACTTGGCAGCATCATTATGTATGGTGAAGAGATTGAGATTGTTAACAATTTTAGTTTGCTTGGCTCCACAATCAACAGTCTTGGTACCAGCAGCCAGGAAATGAAGATATGAATTATGTTGGGAAAGTCAGCTCTCAGGGACCTCTCTAGAGTACTGAAGAGCAATGACGTCAGTATGGAGACTAAGGTGAGCCTGAACCAGGCCATAGGCTTTGCAACTGCTTGCTATGCTTCAGAGAGCTGGACAGTGACTAGGGATGATAGAAAATTGATGCCTTTGAACTGTGGTGGTGGAGAAGAGTGTTGAATATGGACTGCTGGGAGAACAAACAGATTTGTTCTGGAGAGGGTGAAACTGGGCTGCTCCTTGGAGGCAAGGGTTCTGAAGCTTCATCTAACATACTTTGGACATGTTGCAAGGAGGGACCGGTCCTTGGAGAGGGAAATCATATTTGGGAGGGTGGAGGGACAGTGCAAGAGAAGAAGACCCCCAATAAGATGCATCGATTCAGTAACTGGGGTAATGGGGGTAGGTGTGTCAGAAACAACAAGGTTGGCACAGGATAGAGCAGGGTTTAGGACTGTTGTATAGAGGGTCGCTATGAGTCGCAAGTGACTTGATGGCACACAACGACAACAACAACAACAACCAGGAGTTGCTGCTGATAGAAGATCATGTGTAATAGGGCTGATTTAGAGCTGCTAGAGACCAACTTGTTGGGGGGCAGCTACGGGTTGGTTCCGACTCAATGGTATTTAAGAGCACCTAACCAGCCAGGACAGCACTAATGCTGTGCCACAGTGTTCTCTCTGCTTTCCACTAGCCACATGTTATTATCAAGAGAATGATTGAGGAAAGAAGAAATCTTACTTTGTAGGTTTGAACTAAACTGAGAAGGAAAGGGAGACTTTGAGGTACCACAATCATGAACAATAAAACCACCACCAATAGAACACAGAGTTTTCTACTCTCAAAAGTGTTAAACTCTTTATTGAAATGAAATGAGATACAGCAGAATATGTGAACACAGGACGGAGGCGGCATTATGCTTGAAGAGAACACCAAGGCCTTGCCCACCAAGTCTCACTATGATGTCCCCCTCCCCGCTGTCAAGGACTTTGCACATGGCTCCACGGAACTCTCAACACTCAGGAGAGTCCATTTATCCAGAACATATTTCAAGTAGTTATGTTCATTCTGCAAAGGGCAAGAACGCACACGGTTTCTGTTTATTTCATCTTGTTAAGTCAAGAAGTGAAGAATTTCAACTCTTCTATGTGTGGGTAAGAGGAAGAGATCAGAGTCCACTGAGGGGATCACATTTTGAATAAGTTATTCGGAAGCAATAATTACACTGGATAAAGGAAAAGAGGCCAATTGGCAGATGGGAAAATGTCTTTGAGGGTTTACTTTAGAAACTAAAGCTGAAAGACCACAGTGCTAAAGTTAGCCACGTGGTGGGTAACACACTCCACTGTGTGTGGTGACAGTGCACCTGAGACTGGCAGGCTCTAGGCAATGCACAGCAAGATCAGAGGCAAAATGAGGCGTGTTCAGGAGAGAGGGGCAGGGAGAGTGGGGGTGTCTCAGAGCCATCTATTAAACTGAAAAATTCAAACTTATCGTCCTTGAGTCAGAACCAACTCATAGCTGATCCTCTGATGGATTTCTGAGGCTGTAACTTGCATGGGAAGAGAAGGCCAATTTTTCTCCTCCGGTAGATTCCCACAGCAGGGAGGCGTGGCTTCTGGGTTAGCGGCACTAACTCCCTCCAGGATAGGCCACTGGAGCTCTTACTCTCATGAAACTCACTCACTCACTGCCATGGAATTGGAACCAACTGAGTAGATTTTCAGAGGCTATATAAATCACGTGGCAGGAGGCTGCCTATCTTTCTCCCTCAGAGCAGCTGATGGATTCAAGCCATCACTTTATATTCTTGGATTAATAAAAGCTTCTTAAATCTTTTCCCTATTTCTTAAAATGAGCCCTAAGCCTTTGGGTTAGTAGTGCAACTCCTTGCCACTAGGCCACCAGATATGCCAAATAAAAAGGTTGTGGGGATACAGGGGATGTAAAGTGAGGATCTCTGAGAGACAGAACATGATGGCAATTTTCAAACACTTGAAAGAAAATCTTGTAGAGGAGTGTAATTGTTTTGAGTGGCTCCACAGAGTAGAATAAGGACCACTGTGTAGAAGATAAAGGTAGTCAAACGATAACTTCATCGGAGAAAGAATTTTGCCATGGTTATAACAAACCAGTGTAGGAACAGGTCACTAGGGAGATCAACTCCCACTGAGAAGGTGTGGGAGACACCCTTGGAGAAGGACCTCTTCATAGGCTGCAATGGCTAGTTAGTGGTTGGATCCAGGATTGGAACTGACACCTCTTAATTCTAAAAGATGTTGATTTTAAGTAAATTCCCATTTATGTGGAACCTCCTGCACCCCAACCAACAGCAACATGTGTCATAATAATGAGTAATGTCAAGAAACATTTGTAAAAATGGCCCAAAGTTGGTGCAAATTCCAAGAGGGGGTTTCACAAAACAATATGGAGTATATACCCTTTCCTACACAGCATTAACATATTCATATTAATTAGAGTACATCTAATCCCAGAGGCAGGGGTCAGTTGTTAAGCTATATATTCATGGTGTAGCCACTGTTAACTGACAGTGAATCAGAGAACTCTATTCCAAAAACAGTTTGCATAAAAGAAATGAACCACATCAAATGCAATTCCTTTCAGAATCTTCCTTATACAATCCCACAAGAGATTAGGCAAATAAGTTCTTACTTAATAAACAAGGCACATATAAACTTATTTTTTTAAAAGACCAATTACATAACACTTCCTAAACACATTTGCTATTTGGATCACTGAGCCCCTGGGTTATGAATGTCCAACTCACAGGCAACCTGTACCCCCCTTTAATGATATGTAAATTTGCATACACTGTGAAATGAATAAACCAATACCCAAACTCAAGAAAAAAAAAAATAAACAAAAAGCCCAGACAAATTGCTGTCAAGTCAAGTCTGACTCACAGTAAACTGACAGGACATTGTAGAACTACCCCTTTGTTTCTGAGGCTATAGACCTTAACGAGAGCAGACTGCTTCATTTTTATGCAGCACCAGCAGAGTGGCTGTTGTGTTCCAGTTATGACCTTTCAGTTAGCCACCTAATATTTAAACCATACCACCACCAGGCCTCCTGAGCTAATACTATCCAAAACAAATTTTCCATCATGCCTTTGCTTGCTGTGTGTTCAGGTTTTAAATCAGTGAAAAAAAGCTTTGAGTCTTCTCATGAACTAAATAAAGGCCAAACAAGACCCATGGACACCTGTTCTGATGTCCCTACAAATTCAACCCAAAGTCACACTTGGGAACATATCTTCAAAACCTGGGGAGGCCTATATTTTCAAATCTGAACAATGCTAGGTTGTGAGAGCAGACACAGTCATTCCTACATAACGTTAACATATTACTTGTGAACTTTATATTCTTGGATTAATAAAAGCTTCTTAAATCTTTTCCCTATTTCTTAAAATGAGCCCTAAGACACTGTGTCTACTCCTACCATTAATGGACCCAATAGATGTGTTCTGTCAGATCCTGTCACATGTCCCACCGGGTAAAGGAACTTGAAGAGAAGGCCTGGGAAGCTATTTACCCACAGCTTTCAGGAGCTGGGCCACTTGGAACACTCTGAAAACACTCAGTTCAAGTTCCTTCCAGGGAGCCTCTGTAACACAAGTGGAGGCTTCAGTTCCGGCTCATCTGTATGAAAACTGTCCTCTGTAATGACAATCCTGGCCTGACCTGGTTTGATCAGACACCACTCAAAGTCCCATCCAGCTGTGGAACTCTGTGAAGCTACATGTAAAAGTAATATGCCAAAGTGTTTACAGAGATGACCAGGAGATATTTCAATTTAGCCAATACATGCAACAATTGCATCAATATTTACTTATTTTTAAATTTTACATTAAAGGAGGCATCACTTACTCTCTAAACTATTCAAGTTGACATGCATTTACAAAGGTTCGTCTATTTTGAAAGTCTATGATTTTTAAAATTTGTTTTTATAAAATGTGTCAGTCAACGATTTCCTTAAAGCATAAACTTATCTAGGGCATGTAAAGTATAATTTGATGTGCATACTTGAATTTATCTACATTATTCATAACTAAGCAATCTTTGGAAAATCTCCTCCCCATCCCCACTTTAACTTCCTAACCATTAGCATATTTCTCCATGGCGTGAGAAAACTGGTCTAGAGATTTATAGTTCATGTCCTTCTAAGATCAAATTTCTCAGGTGCATTTGAAGTAAGCTCAATATACATTCTGTACCCATAAGTGTATCATTTTCTAAAATCCCTAATTGTGAGAAACATTAACAAAAAACATATACTCTTTAAATTGCTACTCTTCCACCCCCAAATACACCAGAGTAGGGAAGAAATAATTACAGAAATGTAAAGTGTGGGGAGTATATAAGCTTAAAATACAAATAGCTCTGTTCCCAAAAGGCCCTAGCACTGCACTCAGGAGCCTTGAAAGTACTTTCTACCTGTCTTCAAGAATGCTTCACTTCTGTGCTGTTCCAATACGAAAAAATAAAAATTCCCAGGGACAGAGCATAGATTAGCTTTGATAAAAAATCCCAGCCATGAACATGAGAGATGTGTTGGGGATAAATGCTCTGAGTACGACTTCCTTACTACCTCTCCCACATAGTTCTAATTGCTCCTTAGGGGTCAGTGTCTACCCTCTGGGGCCACTCTGAATGCTATGTCTTAGGCTGGGCTGCAGGGCAGGGTCCTCCCATGGCAGGATATCTTGACATTTATCTCATAAATAAAGTTCAGAGAAATGCATGCCCCATGGCCAGTCCTGGCTTTAAAACCAAATTACTTCCTAGGACTTACCAGCCACTTTGCTGGTCCTGTCCTGCCCAGGTGATGGTGGTTCTGCTGTTGGTGAACAGAGGATTGGCAGGTCGGGGAGCTGGGAGGAAATGTAATTTACTGCATCTGGTAGCAGAGAACAGGGAATACAATTAGGCACAGTGTTGGGAGGCCCAATGGGCTCACTTGCCGAGACAGCAACTTGCTTGCCCTACATAATGGACCGCTGGGCAGTCACTGAACCAGAGGATCAGCATAAACAAAGGGCAGCATTTGCCTGGTGACTGATATTCAGCAGAGTAGCTGAGTTTGGAGGGAACCCAGCCAGACTGTTCAAGCCCCAGGACCACTTTATGTATTAACAGATTCACTAGAAAGTTCTAGAATTCTAGATATACAATGAGTTCAGAGGATAGGGGAAGGAAAAAAAAAATGAGTCCACAAGAGCCGTTATCAAGTTGATGGGATTGAGCACATATGGGGCATCAAACCAGAAACGTGCATAAAAAATGTTCTAAAAAAAATAGATATGGGGTTCCGTTCCTGAGCTGAAAATATAGTTTTATGTGCCTGAACTATTTAGAAAAAGGAAAAAGAAAACCTCTGCAATTTACTGTATGATTTAAAAAATTTAGGCTAGCATTTCAGTCTGAAAAATCTTGAGATTCCAAATACCAGCACCCGGTGAATTCACCATGAAGTCAGGTACGGGAAATATTGCTGTGCAATGAAGGGGGACAATGAGTTTTGTGTTTCCAGCCCGTGTCCAGGGAGGGGAGACCCCGGAAGACGTACCTATCAGCAGGTATGCCAAGATGTCAGAGCAGAAAAGGAAAATACTGACGGGGGCGAGGAGACCAGAATAACCCATGTGACCCCAAGTCCCAGAGTTTTTATTTTTCCCTCATTTGCTGCTTCTCCTGTGCGCTAGCTCTTGGCTCATGACACCACAATTCACCCAAAATCTTTCTCTCCTCCCCCCTCTGGGACATTCAGTCAGTCCTGGGGCTTCTACCCCCTTTACCCCTACCTCCCCCTAGCCCCTCCACGGACACTACCTTCACTCCGGCAGTTTTCCTTTCATTCTCCTAATCTCATGCTGGAGAGGGCTATGACCAGGTTCTAGAGGAGGATTACTATAGTTCTAACTGACTAGGCCATTTATCAACTTGTGTGAAGTCTAAAGACAAATATCAGACTGACCTAATGGTGGCATATTATGTTCTTAGCACAAAGACCACTCTCCAACGCCTAGAATTTCTCACATCCACCATCTGGGGAGAAGCAGATAGGCTTTGGTTGAGGGGAGGCTCCAGCCTTCTTCCCCTGGGCTCTCATGTGTTTTAAGCGTGTGTCCTTGGTTACAGAAGAGATGGTTGAAGTGCCTCTTATGCTCAGAAAGGAAGTGGATTGGGAGATGGTTGGGAAGTTGTTTGCAGGGACTCCCTGAAAATGGTCCTGAATTTGAGTCAGGGACTCTGTGAACTTGTACATTATTCTCCCCACTGAGTTTCCCTTCCATTATCCTGAACTTAGGTTTCAGGTTTTTCACTACCCTTACTGTGGGGAGCTGTGGAAGGTTTGCAACAAAGCATGAGTGGGACCAAGGGGAGCAGCAGCTGTGGGGAAGTAGGTCCTGATACTTGCAACTGAGCCCAGAAAACAGGGTAAGTGGACACTTTAGGGGGAAAGAGATGCAGAGCAGAGCAGACCTGGAGAACTTCTGAGTTTCACTGAGTATTTCCAGAAATCTGTGGCACTGGAAGCTTAGTAAAGCTGACCATGAAAGGAAACGGGGCTCAAGCTAGAAAGACTAGGTAAGATCTCACAGACCAGTCGCAAGTGTATCTAGAAGGCTGTTGGTGTGTACTATCACGTCAAAACAGACCCATAGCTGACCCTCCAATGGGTTTTCAGAGGCAGTTAATTGCACGGGAAGAAACTGACCATCCTTGTCCCACAGAGCAGCTGGTAGATTCAAACCATGTGACTTCAGGATTGCAGCACAGCTACTTACCACTAGACAACCTAGTTCATGCTAAATATAGAGAGTTTCTAGGGCCTCTGAGCATGATGAAATTTTTAGCAGCTAGAAACAAAAGCCATTAACAGACAAGGCTACTTCTGCATCTGAAAAGCAAGTAAATGATTCCTACTGTTTGTGTTTCAGTCCCTCCAGCAGACAACTCCCTGGCACGTGGGTGTGGGTGATAGATACCTTGGTTGAATAGGAATTAGCTCCAAGTTTCAGTTACACAGCTCTTAGAGGGCCGGGGCTACCTGGCTTCTGCTAAGATATAACCTAGGCCATGTGGGGCACGAAGAGGAAGATAGAGCACCCCCAACAAGCCATTAAATAATAAAATTCAGGGTAAAACAATGAAGTAGATGATAAAACCAGCACAAGGAATAGCAAACAGGGCTTCCAAAGTGTTAGTGAGGGGGGGAAAAGTCTCTTCAGGTGGTCTCCCCTGGAAAACAGCGTGGTCTACAAATGCCCTTTTCCATTTTCAGAGAAGTGAGAACAGCCAGTTATGTACATTCTCCCCCCTCCTTTTTTTCTTGTTGAGTACCAGCAGGTCAGGTTGCCCCTCCTTCTCCAGCGGAGCATCTGGTGCTGTAAAGGCTTTGATCTGGAAAGGGCACTATGCTTCCATTGGCCAGTATGGGATGGGAACACAGAAGACCAGAACTGTACTTAAGGATGAAACTCTAACATTTTCTCTGGCCAATTTTACCAAGGGTTTTGGACCAGCTCTTTGGTGAGTGAAGACTATAGTTAAGTCCCAATATACAATATATGCAACTTAGGGCTACACAAAGACATGGTACTTAGCCAAGGCAGCACCAAAATGTACATGACCAGGGACTTCTATCCAAGATTGGAACGAATGGCTCTTGATTTCCAAGGCTACCATGTTACAAAAAGCCATTGGTAATCCAGCAATATGATATTTATTTATTCTGATACTCATAAAGTCATATAGTACCAAAATCAGTAGAATCTCTCAATCTCCTTCTCTCTCTGCCTCTGCCTCTCCCTCTCCTCTCCGCCCCACACATACTGCAGCCTCATAAGCTGAAGATGCTTTAATTGATTAGCTGCAGCACCTTACATTGGTAGATGATGATAACTGGACTTGGATTCTGTAACTAGTGTGCCTCAGGATATTTTCCTTAAGGTATTATTGTTCTGTAATAGTTTTGTTAGTTCTATGAGACAAAATAGTTTGACTGTAAAAGGACATTGGCAGTTTGAGATCTTCGAAATCAAGAATCAGAAAATGAGATCATCCCAAGTTCCTCAACTGAAATGTGCTTCAGTCTGCTCCCTCAGACCACAGTGCAATCCAAACACTGGGAGCCTCTGTGGAAAAATGTGTCCTGTCCTCTCCTCCAAACATCTTCCTCTGACAACAAATATGATGAGATGGACTGGTAACTCCAGGCTTAGCTGGAAGCAGCCCCGGCAAGAATTCGAATAGAGGATGACAGACAAGACTACAGAACCTTTCCCCTGGACCTTTGCTTGAGATTCCTCAGACTGTTACCGTCTCTTAAACCTGAGCTCATCCTTCTCTTTAGAAGGAGACACTGGACAGAGACACAAGGGTGACTTCTTTTCAGCCTTCCTTTGCAGTCACAAAACAACTGTCTGAATGGCTGGAGGTGAGGAATGAAAATAGCAGAAAGGCAAGGAGGACATGAGAGGAAAAGCTCGTGGGGGGAACAGACTGTACAATGTAGCTACATTTTTGCTTGCTAACAAGTCAAAGACTAGACAGTTTTCTTTGAAACCTTCTCAGGAATATGACACACAGGCAGCTTTCCTTCTCTGATCATCAAAAAGAAGACTATAATATGTCCTGGTCTGAGAACGGAGGAGGGGAAAAGAAGCGGAGCACAAAAGGACACCCTTCAGGTTCAGGAGAGACTGTGCCAATGTTGCACCTTGTCTACCCGAGCCTGCCACTCGGCGCCTCACTTCTGGACATGGAGCGTGCCTCAGGTCTTCTGCCCCAGGAAAGTCGGGTGTCGTCCATGCTGTTACGCTTAGTTCCCTCAAACAAGCAAGGCCACTCCTTATGCCCATTCCCCAATACCAAAATACAGAACGTTTTGATTCAGCCACACCCTGGCTTGTCACTGTCTCCATGTGCTGAGAACATGAGGTTTAATACAGAAGCTTCCTGAAGACCACCCAGGGAACCAAAATCCAAACCCTTTGTCTTTGTTTTGCTGGGGAAAATATTTACAGCCGCTCAATAGAACAATCCTTACTGCAAATGTTTTCATTAATCCAGAAAAATGCATTCTACGTTTTCTTCCATTTGAAAAATATTCCTCATATTTCCCCCCAAATGATGCTGGGAAAACATTCAGATCTGATCCCTACTCATATTCCTAGTTAAAAAGTTAATCTTAGAAGAGCAAGATGAGCAGGTGTATGTGATCTTTCTGACAGGTCTAAAGAAAGTCTAGGTGAGGGCCAAAGTGAAAATGGGATTCAAGCGGTTTTCACCGGTTTGCAGCTGAGGTCAAGGTGAAGGATAAAAACTCACAGCACCCGTTCATCCCACAGGCCTGGGTAAGAAGAGGAGAGGACAGGAACAAGGAAGAGAAGAGAGAGGCAGGATGCCAGGGCCCTGCTTCCACCCATCACCTGCTCTGTCCCACCTGGGAGAGAAGCCTTGTTTGGTCCTGTTTCCCTGGAAGGCTGGAGAAACTGCAGTTTTCTGAGCCAAAGAAAAACCAGAGGCTTCAAAAAGGTTCCCTAAATATTAAGTGACATATGTGTGAACTCTAGCATCTAGCCAGCAGGACAAATATGCTCATTCCTGCAAGGGACTCTGCCTTGATAATAGCATCTACTTTGCTGAGAACCTTTTTACAAAGGCCTAAGCAGTGATCCTCTGGGATCTGAGATGAAGGAGGAAAACATCCAGGTCAGTTCTGTAGACTCAGGATAGCAATCAAGACAGTCCCTGAGGAAGAGAGACAGGCAAGACTTGGAACAGGAACTTCCCGTGTTTTGCAAACAACATTGCCCTTCCTTCTGATGCCCTTACAGACCATCGTTACTGTCACATTGTCAGTGAGCCCATGTCATGAAACTCATGACAGCATCAGCCTTCCTTTCCAACTAAGCTGATCAGGACAAAAATACTCATCTACACACAGGGCAGAGAGTACTTACCTCCATCCGTATTGGAGAAGCTCTGTGGAAACAAAAGCAAAGCTCAGAGTTACTACACACGGACAAACAGTCCCTCTTCATTTCTGCTATCTTTCCCCATGAAGCTTTGCCCAACACTTGACTGTGATGGTGAAAACCAGTCCTGTCTTTTCTTTTGAGACATTTGATTTGAGCTCCAAAATAAAAAGAAAGGCTCAATATCCCCACCTTACATAGACATTCTCCCAATAGACCTTTATTAGCTTCTCCAGCAGTCCACGTGATTGTGTGGAGAAGTGATACCAGAAAAACAAATCTGACAATGAATTTGTTCATGCTCTCCTATTGTGTATAATACCTACACTAGTAGGGTTACCATATGGAAGGACCATCCTAAGATATGCAAGGCCTATTTGTTGGCCTTATGGTTTCTCTTCTCTATTCTATACTACACACCATCTGGTTTTGCATATGTAAAATTTCATGTATTTATACTACTTGTATCTGGAAGTTATGGCCTTTTAATGACTTTGACTCTGGTCTGTTTATAAAGAAAAGACTCAGATTTATATTTTATAAAATAGAAATAAAATTCAAGTGAAAGGCACATGTTTAACCTGTTGAATAAGAATTCACTTTAGAACTCTTAAGTTCAGTGGGAAAAGACTTTTCAGGGAATGAAATATAAGGAAAAGATGGCAACTGGTCCAGGGGCTGCTGAGTCAACACTGATTTAAAGTGACCCATGTATATTAGAGCAGAACTGCACTCTGTGAGGTTTCCGATGCTGGGTTTTTTGGTTTGTTTTTTTTTTTTCCCTAATGCTGGGTTTTATGAAAGCTTACCATCAAGCCTTTCTTATGAGGAATCTCTGGGTAGACTCGAACCACCAACCTTTTAGTTAGCAGCTGAGCATGTTAACCAACTATACCACCCCGGGGACTCCACGGGCAGCAGGGATAATGGGCTCATTGAATGACTCTTCTCTGTGTTTACCAGCCACCAGGTAACATCACACTTGAATATAGACCACTTGCTCCATTTCTGGTGTGGCACCTGGTCCTAACATGCCTAGCCTGTAATTGACAGTGTGTATGTAGCTCAGACTTTTCTCATTAATATCCCCTTGCTTTTTTATCCACTAGTCCCATTTTTTCCCCCAGAATTTACTATCCACCCCAGATATCATTTCAAGAAATCGCATTTGTTTTCTTCACCTTCTGAAAGTCCTTGAAGGATTTCTCTGTCTCCTTTAGTTTCTCTAGGATGATTTGCTCTTTGGCAGATATCTGGGACTCTTCACTTTCTAGCGCTTGTATTTCCTGCTCGAGCCTGGAAGACACACAAACAGAGGACAGGTTACTCTATTGTCCTGCCACCCATGGGCAAGCTCCTTCCTGTTGGATAGCTTGGGTGTTGCTGGCAGGCTTCGTTTTACATTAAACTGAGACACTAGGTCAAGGTTTTACATTGCAAAACATCCTGTATTTTCAGCTGTGAGCTGACACTGGCTAACGAAAGACAACCCAGAGCTACAGTTAGTTTACAGGCAAGTATCCAGTACTCAGCTTTGATGTCTCTCCTCTAAACCTAACAACCTGTACATTTCTTATTTGGGAAAAGGTAAGTTTTACATGTTGCTATTATGTGCCATTGACTCGACTATGATTCATTGTGACCCTATAAACAATGGATATGAACCCTGTCCTATCTTGTGCCATCCTTATCATCCCTGATGTACTTGAACCTTTGCTGCTGTCACTGTGTCAATCCATCTTGTTGACAGTCTTCCTCTTTTTCATTGACCATCTACATTCCCAGACATGATATCCTTCTCCAAGGACTAGTCCCTCCTAATAACATGTCCAAAATATATGAGATGAAGTTTTGTCATCCTTGCCTCTAATGAACATCATCCAGATTTCATTTCTCCAGGACAGATCTGTTTGTTTTCTTGGCAGTCTATGGGATATTCAATACTCTCCTCCAACATCGCAACTCACAAGCATCAATTTTTCTGTCATTCTTAGTCACTGTCCAACCTTCAGATACATAGCAAGCAACTGAGAAGAGCATGGTTTGGATCAGGTGTACCTTAGTCTTTAAACTGACATCATTGCTCTTTAGTACTCTGGAGAGGTCTCTGACAACAGATTTTCCCAAGGCAACTTATCGTTTTTCTTGATCGCTGGTTCTAAGGGATTGTGAATCCCTGTAAGATGAAATCGTTGTCTTCTTCAATCTTTTCACCATGATGTTGCCTTTTGGCCTGGTGGTAAGAAATTCTGTTTTTCTAATGCATATTGAAGGCTGTAGTATTTTATTTTCTGTACCAAGAGCTTCAAGATCCTTTAACCAAACAAAGTTGTGTCACTTGCATAGAATTTTTCTTCATTAAGTCCAGCTTCTCTTATGATTTGTTCAGCATACAGATTGAATGTAGTTGCTGTTGTTGTTGATTGCCGTCAAGTCAAGTGTGACTCATTAGTGACTCTATGAAAAAAATAACCTAATGCCTTTCTATATACCTTGTCAATTCCAAGTTCACAGAATTTCCAGAGGCATGTGGTTTAGGAAGTGGATGCCACTCCTGCATCCAAACCTGCTTTACAACTGGGAGCTCCACCAAACACTGTTCACATTGGGAAACCATTCTGGTATTTGATACTCCAATGATTCAGCATCATAGCAACCCAGGTTACTTCATACTGCACATTGACAAAGAGTAATTTACAAAGTTGAAGAGAGTGTTCCTCCAGATATAAACATCACTAGTTTCATTTAGCAGTGGTTAAGTGTCGTCAAGTTGATTATGACTGAGAATAAGTTTTGCACAAAAGACATGACTAACATGACTAAAAGACTAACATCATCTATGAACATTTACAGAGTTTAGAAAGTTTGTAGAGTTTCCAGAGGCATCTAGTTTAGGAAGTAGATGCCACTCCTGATTCCCAGAACAAATAAATCTGGAAATTCATTCAAAAATTGTACATAATGGGTAACTGTTATGATATATGACATGGTTATGGAAGAGTGTGCGGCATCTCAGCAACACAGATTGAATAGGTATGGGGGGGAAAGCCCTGACTCACAACTTTCTTAATTTTAAACCATGCAATATTCCTTTGCTCTGTTTGGACAAGAGCTTCTTGATCTAGGTACAGGTTTCTGCAAGCACAAGTAAGTGCTCTGGGATTCACGTTGTCAATGTTAGCCATAATTTGTTGTGATCCAAACAGTCAAATGCCTTAGCACAGTCAACAAAACACATATAGACATCCTTCTGGTATTCTCTGCTTTCTGCCAAGATTCATCTGATATCTGTAATGATATCCCTGGAGAAATTGCTCTATATTCTACCACCAGCCAACGTAAACTAATTGCTCTCTGTCAGATTTCCTAAAGTGAAGAGTTAGTCTTAGTAAAAAGAAATCCTGGTTAGCTGGAAACCTGTCATCTCTTTCAGTGGCTTGACTGTACTCTCCCCAAAGAGGAGAAATCGAGGAAATAAATGCAACTTCCCTTATTTCTGGTCTCCTGGAACTTTCCTCAGTTTTGATGGCCATCCTATATATTTTCTTCAAGGGAAGTTTCAGTATTTCCAAAAAGGATTCTACATTAGCTACAGCTATGATTTGGAGGGACTCTCGACAACAGTCATCTTTCAGTAAATTAATATATAAAAATATTAATTAAAAATTAATATTAATATAAAGTGAGAACTAGAACTTTTATTGAGTACTAGATTATGAAAAAGAATGCGGCATCAGATTGGAAGAAGACTCACCAACAACCTGCAGTACACAGATAACATACCTTGCTTGCTGAAAGTGAAGAGCACTTGAAGCACTTACTGAAGAGCACAGACTACAGCTTTCAGTATGCATTAACCTCACCATAAAGAAAACAAAACAATCTTTCCTGAATCAATAAGTAGTATCAAGATAAACATAGAAAAAAATAAAGCTGTCAATGATTTTACATAGATCCACAATCAACAGTCATGGAAGTGGCAGTCAAGAGATCAAAAGTCATGTTACATGGGAAAAACCTACTGTCAAGGAGCTCTTCAGTGCTGAAGAGCAAGGCTATCAAGTTAAAGACCAAGGCATGCCTGACCCAAGCTATGGTATTTTCAATTGCTTCATATGCATATGAAACTTAATGAATAAGGAAGACTGAAGAACTGATTGATATCTTTGAATCAGTTCTGCTGCTGGTGAAGAATGCTGACTGTATACTGGATTAAATACTAAATAAATAAGTCTTGGAAGAAGCAAAGCCAGACTGCTCTTCGAAGCAAGAATAATAAAACTTTGTCTTCTGTAATGGGGTCCTGCCTCGTTACATTGAGCAGTTTCACCGAGAGAAGGGATGAAGATTAAATGAAGATGCAGAGAGGCTAACGCTGATGGCAAATAGCAGAGTTTATTCCTCAACTTCTGTGCTACATTCTTTTTTGCAGTGAACAGAAAAACAACTCAGTCTCAAGGCCGACAATACATTTGCTTTGATATTCCTGCCACCTGCAAGCAAGGCTTCCAATTAACAAGCAAGGCCATCAGAACAGAGTCTTTAGGAAGGGACATACCATTCCACACATTCCTGCTTGGACTTGGGGTTCAAGGAGCGGTTAAACTTGTTTTTGCTCCCCTTCAAACATCTGCACATTTGAACCTGGCATAAAATGGCTACTTGCTTAAAATGGCTGCAATATGGCTCACTTTTTAACATCCTGCTTCCTTGAGTTGTTTTCTATTAAGCAGATACTATAGCCAAGATGGAGTTAGTCTTGCTGGTCTTTTGGTACAGGGCTAATCTTGCTTTACAAGTTAGCCAGGCTCTAACACTTGTGTACTTTGGGCATGTTATCAGGAGAGGCCAGTCCTTGAAAAAGGTCATTAAACACGGAAAAGCAGAGCATCATTGAGAGAAAGGAGCCTCAACGAGCTGGACTGGCACTGTGGCTGGAACAATGGGTTTAAGCAGAGCAGAGAGTGCGAAGATGGTGCTGGGTCAGAATTTCATTCTGTTGGACACACAGTCAACGATGAGTTGGAACCAACAAGTTCTGTGGCTGAAACGAGCTAAGAATTTGTATTTATCTCATTTAATCTTCACAGTCACTTTATACTAGAGAATCCCCATTCTCCAGATCAGATCATTGAAATCTAGCTACACTATTTAAGTTTAATTCTGTAGAGCAGTAAGGTCAGAGATCAAGCCAGACAGTGTGGCTCTAGATCTTACTCATAATCGTCATGCTAAACTACTAACCAAATGAGTCTATGATATTTTACAACATCTTCACCTTGTTAGCACCCACATATGTTGGCATACCAAGGTAGCACAGCTAGGTAAGCTGAGGTTACAGAGGGTGTATCTACATTCCACAGAGTCTAGACCACTGTGCTTCCTGAATCTTTTGGACAAAATGTTCATTTATTCATTTTTGCTTTTGATCTTCCCTATCTTCTTTGCCTCATCATGCTGGAAGGTTGGCAGCGGAGTCTTTGCTACCTATTCTTGCTCCCTCTTTTCCTTTCTGTCCTCCCATATTCTAATTGGCTCTTTCATCTCTCACTGCTGTCAAGTTAGAACTGACTCTCAGCTGACCCTCCATTAGGTTACCATTACTGCCTCTGAAAGTCTGCTGGAGGATCAGCTATGAGTTGGTTTGGATTCCATGGCAATGAATTAGTTTATTAATTCACTCACCTCCCTCTGGTTGAGGGCACTGATGACTTCCTTCTCTGAACATTTCATAGCATGCTCTTTTGTTTTTTCAGAAGTCTTATCTACTGTGTATTGGACCAGTGTTGAATCTCTCTCTCTCTCTCCTTTCCCAGGATATATGGCAACGTCTGGAGACACTTTTAGTCATCACAGCTTGAAAAGGAGGGGCCTGGGAATGCCTGCTAAACACCCTACAATGCACAGGGAAGATACCCACAAAGAGTGAACTGGATCCAAATATAAATAGTGCTGAGTAACTTTAAACTTTCTGCTAGAGTTACATAAATTATTCATTTGCCCTACTTGACTGTAAGTTTATCATGGAGAGGGTACAAGTGCTCAGTATTTGTATACTGAATGAATGAAAACACCTAAACGAAGTTGTACAAAGGTATGGCTCAGACAAGGGAAGACCTTCAGGAGTCTTAGGGGACATTTTCCCAGTAAAGTTCGAGTTACAGACTGCGTGTAGGCTGTGATGAAAGCACAGCCTGGAGAAGAATGGGCCAAACAACAAAGAGACAGAAAACTCCTTTGGTGGTCCAAGTGTTCAGTAAAACCATCTAGATACATCATTGTGGAGGGGATGAAGG